TTTAGTTACGATCCTGAGATGACGACAGTAACCTGGCTGATGGAGCCAATGCAGCAGTAATTCGTATTTTTATTATTTTCCTTTTTATATGCTTGAAAACTGACTCTCATTTTTAAGCACACTTTTTAGATTTTTTTAATTTTTTTTATTGGGACACAGGTTTTCCCTCAGCGTCTGCACGGATGCGTTCAGCCTACAGATTGTTTTGGCTCCGACCGACCGACCTGCAGACGCTCCGTCCCTCAGGTTCCCGTATAAAAACCCACTGTTCTCTGTGAAAATTCCGAGCCGCCCAGTGAGCCTCCTCCGGCGTCCATACATATGACATACATCACCAGACGTGTTCCTTCGTGGCTTTTCCAAAAAAGTGGAACCGCAACACCCCCTCAGGCACCGTGGAACTTTTTGGTCCTAATGATGTTCTACACCAAACAGAACCAAAGAAAGGATTGTCTTTGAATATTAAACTGGACCGAAAGAACGCGCAGCTTTGTGGAGAGACACAGCAACTGTCAGGGATGAATCATGGGCTCATGTGGAGCCAAGTGAAGGAGGCAGCAGGGTTTGGACGTGTTCCTGGGCCGGCAGGATGATGAATCTCCCAAATCTCCCCCTTCGTTCTCTCTCTCTCTCTCTCTGTCTCCCTCTCTCTTGTCTTACAGCCGTCAACTTGTGTTTAATGTTTCCTTCCTGCTGGGCCAGGAATATGTTTTCAATTGCACTAAAATCTGACATCGCACTTGACAGGAGAGAACGTCCGTCCAAAACCTTTAGCCTGCATGTCAGAGGATGGTACGGGGTCAGAGGTTAGGTGGCTTTAATGTGAAAATCTGTAGAAGCGAGAAGGGTTCATTTGGAAATGCATTCCTGACATGAAACCTTTCTAGAAACATACGAGATCCACAGAAAGACTGAGCTGAGTGAATGAAGTCTGGATGATTAGGCTCCTAATGGCCACTTCAGAGCGTCTCCAGAGGGTTGAGATAGGAAGTGGAGAGAGAAGGAGTGAGGAGGAGTGAGGAGGAGTGAGGAGGAGTGAGGAGGAGTGAGGAGCTGACTGTGTGAGTCTCCAGAGACTGAAGGACCGGAGAGGAGAACCTCAATCACATACAGCTGCTGAGCAGTGCTGCTGATGGATGTACACACACACACACAGACACACATACACACACACACACACACACACAGACAAACAGGACCCATTCTCGTGTCCTTTGAACCTACAGTCAAAACAAAACACAGAGGAAAACACAAAGATCTGACTAAAACAGTTTTGTTGAATGTCCTCGGTGGAACCAGACCAAACTTTACTTTTTACTTTACCAACCTCTGGTCTGCGTTCAATCATCACTAACCTGGCTACTTTGTATTGGCAACACAGCATAAAAAACATAATAATAATAATAATAATAATAATAATAATACATTTTATTTGAAAAGCGCCTTTCAGGTCACTCAAGGACACTGTACATAAAATAAAACAAAAACAGACGGCCGGAAACGGCCGGAGAGCAGCGGCAACATGCATGCCAGCGTCCGCTCTCAGGTCAAAAACGAATTCTAGGGGGAAAAAAATGTCTCTGGGGTTGCTAGAAATTTGTGATGTTATAACGAGGTCACGTTAGTATAAAACAGGTAAATGTTGTAATAATTTTGTATTAGCTACTTGTCATCGTTTGAGTCATTTGAATGTTTTTTATTTTACTTTCAATTAAGGTTTCTGTGGATTGATATGCATTTGAACTTTAGTAACACGTTCTGATGTCACTTTAAGCTTTTGCTTCACTCTCTGCTGTTAGAGGTGAGTTGTGATGACATTTTTATTCACTTATAAAGTTTTTTTTTATATATAATTTTGCTTCTATTGTTTAAACTCTGTGATTTCTGGCCCGTGTTTCGTTCCAAGCTGCTTGATTTATCTGTTTCTTGTGAACGTGGGTGTTTGCGTGCACGGGCGTGTGCGATGCTGCAGGTGATGTTAATGGAGTCCTGACCCCGGGCTGTCGGAGAGCGCGATGTGCCTCGTCTCTAATTAAAGTGAATCACGCTTTGTTCCAACAGCCCGTGCTTTGTAATTAACGCAGATTAAGGAAGATCCATCAGGACGCCTCCATATTGTTTCTGCAGCGCCAAGAGCGAAGCAGTAAATTTACCCTCTGTGATTAATGTTTTAAGAGGTGGCACACTTTCAGGGATCCATTTAAACGCACACACCCAGTGAATCTGAAAGTAACTGCTCCACAGTTTGATTTTCCTCTCAGCTCAGCAGGACAAACATGGGGCTGAAGGTGATGATAGTGAGGTGGAGGGAGGCACCCTCGTTCTTCAGGGAGGAGGAGACACGCAGGTGGCTGCAGTGGACGTGACCTGGGAGCAGGCTTGTTATTAGAGGGCAGGTAAACAAACGCTCCCTGTTGTTTGGCCGGGTGGGGTTTCACGTAGAGACGGCACATGAAAGCACTAACCAGACAGGGCTGTGACTTCAGCTAGGGCGCTCACATGGCTGTCTTTTTTTTTTTTTAATGTCACAAACTCAGGTCAACCAGTTAACGTGTCGTTCCTCCAAACAAAGACTTTGAAAATGAGTTTATTGATTGACTGAGGAGAGATGCTACTTTCACAGGGCTGTGAGTAGACGTGACACTCGCTGACAAACGCTGGGAGGAATCAGACGGCCGGGGGTCGGAGGTAAATGACCTTTTTTTATTTTTTTTACTAATCAAACAAAAAAAGAAGAAAATAAAGTAGAGGGTAGAGTGGTGGAGTGGGAGGACGCATCTGACACTAGGAGGTTCTGGGTTCAATACCACTGAGTCCCCAAATTCCAGGTAGGGTTGTGTAAGGAAAAAAGAAAAAAAATTCTTCTGGAAGAGAAGACAGGATAAAAAAAAACATAAAATCCAATAAAATTTGATTCGACCTCAGTGTCCCATCCTGTCCGTCCTAAAAAATGTGAAAGAAAATTCTTCTATTTGTTTTTCATGTAATGCTAATCGTTAGCCATACAGTATACATAGTTGATTGTTAGCAATACGTGCACTAGTCACAAGGTTCGAAGCATCAATTCCAAGAACCAGTTGTTTTATAGCCCTGAAGTACGGTATGGAAAGTGTTAAGCAGGTACTGGGTTTTTGCAGCCTGTAGCCACAAGGTGCAACCAAATCCTACATCCAAGTATTCCGTCTCTTTTATGATCCATTAAGGATCTGTTTCACATCATCCCAGGTCTTTTTCCAATCTTTGGGTGTTTTTTTCCAGCTCATAAACCTGGAGCTTATCTAATTTTGGTGATCGGGACCCTGCGTCATTATATCTGAAACTATGAACTGAACAAAAAAAAAAGTCTGTTCTATCACGTGACTTCAGGAGAACAAAGCCGGTGTGATATTTATTATGATAAATTACTGTTCTTCCACCGAAAAACAGATGAACTGCACAGCAAAGGAAAAATGTGTTGTTTTTTTTTTTCCAGAAAAGATAGAGGATACGGTGTGAGTAAGACTGATGATTTGTTGTAACCGAAGGTTTCTCTAACTGAACCAGGATGTGCTTTTATTTTATTACCTCTTCATTTCCAACATTTTCAGAGGTCAGCGCTCTGCTGCCGTCATTCCACCAGAATCACCTTGAAAGCACTTCACGAGGCCTTCGTTAGTCGTCTGCCGAGCCGTGAAGCTCCGACCCCGACTGTCATCACTTCAGGAGCGGGGCTAACCTGGACTCCAGACAAAAACATGACTCACTTTTCCACTGTAAACATAATAACCCTACGTCAAACACTGTGTAAATCCTGTTAGCACCAGATCTGCTCTTATAGCCCCCGCTTCAGATAAAGAGAGGAGAAATTAAAGCCCGGAGATATTGACATAATCCATACTTTTGAAAGGATTAAGTGTGAAGATGTACAGATAAGAACAGCTTCTGGGAACAGAGTCACGCCTTTGCTGGAAGGCTTCTGAGGCTTCAAAGTGTGGGAAACCAAAGAACAACCAAGAATACCCCGTTTTCATTTTTTAAAAAGCAAGACTTACTAGGAAACTTGTTAATTCTAACCATCTGCATATCAGAACTCAAGGGTTGAGTAGCATCAGGGACTGCCTCACACTGGCAGCTCCTACATGGAATCATGTGGTAACCTGCGAACAATCCTGGTTACTCACAATTTCCAGCCCGACCACATGCAGATCAACTGTGTGGTCAGAGCAGTTACCAGGAAACATGCACTTAGTTAAACACAAGTTAGTGACTTACTAAATGCCTTTTGGAGAAATTGAAGTCTCTGTTGCTCTGGAAACCAACAATGAATGGATGACAGGCTGCAGACACAGAGGAGCTAAGACGGCGGCAGCTGTGTTTGAAGTTAAAATGATAATTCCAATTAGACTGTGTGCCCAACGAACGTCTACAGTCCTGCTGTGGTCCAATGTGCTTCAACAGCCATATGACCACACAGCATATAATCAGTTACTGTAGATGTCAGCGATGCATCACAGGCAAAACATGCAAACTACAGAAAGTTTGACCAGGAATCGAACCAGCGACGTCCTAACATTTTCCCCCCTGTGCAGGTGTAGTCATTTTCATTTCAATTACATACAAACTAGTGGTTTTAAAAGATGATTCTTAACCATTTTTAAAGAAACATAGATTGTTGTTATGCGGCAGTCATGTAACTATTGAGTCCACTAGAACAACTGACTCTGGGATTCCCGGAAAATCTGTTGAATCGGCCAAAAAAGTTGGTTCTACAAAATGCAAAGCAGCAACAACATAAAGTAAGTCACAGTTAAGAGGATAAACTTACAAGTCCTTGAGTCGACATCAGAGCTCAGTTTGAACAACCGAGTTAGTACCTGAAGTAGTTCTTGGACGAGCTCCTGATGAGTCACTTTAATCCGACATGATGTTTTGACAACAAGTAAAATCACATGACCCAGGTAGACTGGGTTTGGGCTGAACACTCTCGAGCCGTCATGAAAAAAAAAAACATGTGACAACACTTTAGTTTTCCAAGTGTTTACTCTTGTAAAAATCCGACAGTGCTGACAGTACATGGCAGACAGCTGTTCCACTGATCTCACTTTATCAGCTCTGCGTCAAATATGACAAAGACAATGAACTGCAATGATTGGAAGAAGACAAATGTCAACTCCTCACTGTTTCCACTGGTAAAGCAAAAATAACCAACTCCAATGTTGAGGTGAACTGGCCACTCAGATAAAACAGTCACATTGTAGTACTTGGTAATATTGTGTAAATACATGACTTGATTAAAACTTGCTGACATAAACCACAGTATATAAGACTCTGAAATTTAAGTGTGCATATTCAGGTCATACACTCTGCTCTAGCTTAAATGCATGCAGCTACACGTACAGTGTTGGTCTGTGTAATGACAGAGCAGCAGGGTGACCCAGTGTCCCCCATTGTCCACTCTGATGGTGGACATGCTGCTGCTGTGGCTTCAGCAAAGACATGTTAGCACCTGAAACTCAAACACATTCCACCTTAACAGTCGTTATTAGAGGCAACAAACAGAACAGCTCATTTTAAAGGGTGGTAAATGTGTGAAGTAAATTGGATAAATATTAACGACTTGATTCAATGACTGTTGAATGAAGTTGAATACTGACTTGGATGACTGGGATGTAGCTCTTAAAGTCATGCTCTAAAGCCTTGAGATATACTGTATATTTATATATGTATATATAAACATATATATATATGGACAGATCTGCTGTAGCACTGAACCGAAGTGAGCAGTCAGTTGTGTTTGCTCCGCCTGTGCAGGCACAGAGGCATTAAAACCAATTTGAAACACCTCTGAATTAAGCATCACTACACTTTAAGGTCATGTAGACTGGTTTTTAACACAGAAGACTGATGTTGATAAACTATTGTATTTGTCAGATTTTTTACACAGAACACGAAGAATCGCATATGAAGAAAGCAAAAGGTAAAGTACCGAACTCGTAGCGGCTGAATACCAGTACTAATTAGTAATATTTATAAAACGGTAAATCAGTTAAACTGACTCATATATACAGTACAAGAGCTCAGCAATGTTGTAAAAGCTGTGATGTTCCCAACGGCATCAATATAAAGTTACGCTTGGAGGAAGACATTTTTAATTTCTGCATTGGTTTTTACAATAACATCATTTGTTAATTTGGTGGGACCTAAAGGATTAAAGTTTTTAAACACACCTAGCGTTGCTGTTTCAATGTATATTGGTTGCTTTATGCCATCTTATTTTGCACTACCCTTTCAGGTTTTGTCACATGATCAGTGGTCTCAGCATGGATGCTCAGAAACCCTCTACTTCCACCTATCACTATTTGATAGTAGCTAACTTCCCAAAAACACTAAAGATATGTCAGTTCTTCCATGCTTCCTGGTTCTACCCCTGGGCACCAGAACGCCTCTGGGAAATTTAGGGCCTGGAATGCCTGACTACAACGCTGACAATATGAACTAAACAAAGATTCCAACAGTTTTGAGGGGAAACTTCACAACGCTCTGGACTCCATGAACTAAAGGATGGATGGCGTGCTAAATGATGAAGTCAGCGTTGACACAGAGCCATAACACAATAACACAAAGAATTGCACATTTTGACGTTTTTCTTCTCTAATTTGTGTAAATCTTAACTTACTAACCCTCCACTTCATCAGACTGTCACTGACATGAAGATATATCCAAAAATGTAAATTTACTTTGATTAGCGTGGTAATGGCTCAACGCACCAACATGGCATGCACATATAGAACCGTGACGTAAGGCACCTTTAACAAGTGCTATTAGTTATGCATTATCAAAGCAAGCATCTAAACTGGCCATCTGACAGCTGCAGTGTGTTGTCACATCGGACACGACTGACCATAAACAAAATCTGTTGAAAAAGGAGAGAAAATACAAAACAATGCCAGTATAAAAAACAGACCTGATTATTCTCTCGTTTGAACATAGAAATTAACAGTCTTTTGGTTTCGAAGGAACCACATCTTTTTTGCATATGAGCTGGCTCAGAGAAATAATATTTAAAAATCTTGATAATAAAACTGGCTTTAGTTAAATAATCAAATAAAAAATCAAATCTAATATGATACAGGTCACAGCATTATTTGGAGTTTAAAACTTTCAAACGTGACTCCCTTCTTGGATTCATTTGTAGGGATGTAAGGATATTACATGTTAAAATACAATAATACTGAAGTTTCGCGTCTATGGTACGATATTCAATACAGTGTTGTGATATTTACTAAACTTCAGGCTTCTACACGTTTGATCCCATCACATGTTTATGGAGGTATGGAGTCACTTAAGTTCTGAGACTGACAATATCCTTACGTCCCTATAAATCTGCGTACTTCCTTTCTCCATCCTAGTACCAGTAACAGTACAACGTCAAAAGACTGAGTCATGAATAAATAAAAAGCAGGTTGACCGATCAGAAGTTCTTGAAGAGCTCTAAGTCCTTCTGAGGCACAGGAGGGTCCTTCTTCCAGTCGTCTTCAGGGTAAACATCAAAATTGGAGGTGTCACCCTCATGGGAAACTTTGGGAACAATGGGAGGCTGTGGGGAAAGAGAAGAGTGAGAAAATGTTAGCATGCAGGACGTAGCAGCCATTGACAACCGAAGATTGTTGTGCTTAAATATAAACAACCAAAAACTGCCAGTGATGCCTTTTCTGTCCTGGGGAAAAAGCAACCAATCTCTAGTGGGAATTTCAATCACATCACAAGAAAATAGGCAGAGGCCTAAAGTCTGGCAAATAAAGTGATGCCCTTACTGTCTTAGGAAAAAAAAAATATTACACTACCCTTCTATCCCTGATTAGGCTAGTGAGAGGATTATTTAAATGATTCTTTTTTCGGTTTAAACAATTACGGCTAAAGCCGATAAAGTCACAACTAAAAATAGTCACAACTTGAATTTTGTCATTTCTTCTTCAGTTCTGTAAATACATAAGAAATGTCAGGATTTTACCCTGTGCTATTGTAGGTGTACAGGACGGTCACAGTCCCCTGAAGCACTTCTACCCAACAACAAGAAACTCTTAACAAACAAACACATTCTAAATAATACAGTAGTACTTTTGCAAAGTTTGATTCAAAGCAGATTTTTGAAGTGTAAAAAACTTAAATTCAAGTTTAGACTGACTTAAAACAATTACAGATGTTTTAATAAAGTTAGAAAAACAGGCTCAATGACCTCCAGGTGATTCTGCTTCAAAACCTACTATTGAAGAAAGAGACCACTTGAATAAACAGATGGTTTTGGTGATGACAGAACAATGTGAGCCAGAGATGATTGATGAAAACACACTATGTGTCTGGTGTGAGATAACCAACCAAAACCCACTGTAGGCTAAACCCCCACTACCTTTTCAACTCCAGGTAATGACAATATTCATACAAGTCTGGCTTTCATCACATGTTGTGGTTATTAGCATCAGGGAAACGCCTTCAAGGCCGTTTGATGTGAATGTTGTCATTGGATTAGCCGCAGCCTTGGTCAGCAGATCTGTCTGATTGGTTGGATCAGCACACAGTGATCCTCAATGTATCTAGCTAAGAAATAAGAGTCAATGTGGCTTACAGCCTGCAATGGACATTTCACATGGAGATACACTGTATGCTATGATTCAAATCAACCAACAATGTAAAGCTAAATGTTAATAATTCCATCTCCTAGACATTTGTCCTTATTAAAATGTTATCATTTGAATTGGACACAAACAAGAACAGATGTGAAACACATACATCTATCTGCTGTTATTTTCTATTTCTGTTCCAACACACACACACACATATACATATATGTACATACACACATATACTGTATATAATGTCATATTTAAATATATATATTTAAATATATATGAATATTGAAATCAATGGTTTATCTTGATTATGATTTATCCTGATTAATCATCATTAACTGCAAAATATCGACAGCTTCCTTGTGATTAATTAGATTAAAAAACAAACATGTAATAAGTACATGAAAGGAGCCATTTATCAACTGATGGGAAATTTATCTCTAGAGTGTGGAAAAAATGTCAACACTTCAAAGACTATTTCTGGTCTTGGTCACAAATCAGTTTTAGTCCCTGTGACACATTTTAGTGATGATTTCATATATGAAGGTTTTATGAAGCGGAAACCATTAACAAGTTGAGTTACGTCCTTTCCCACGTCCATGCTGACAGGAGGCTGCTCTATTCAGTGTAAAGCAGCTGCCTGGCAGTGTGAGCGAAACGCCCGCTGTCAGTGGAAACACTATCCAGAAAACAAGTTTGTACAAGGTCACAGCACGGACTGTAAGTTAGGCCTTTTTCACCGGCAGCGATGACATAACTCAGAGCACAGTTATTGTTGGTAAAGTATTCAGGATTCAGCCTGTAATTGTCGTTAAATCTCTCTCTTCTGGGTGTCAGCACATTTAGAAGGAACTGAACGGCGGCCAACTGTGGGTGAGCAGCGGAGGAGCCAGGGCCGTGGAGAAACCATAGAGGATGTGATCACAGTGCTGCGCCATCAAGTTTATTAAACAGTGCAAACACTTTCATGTGGGACTTGCAAGTTTGAACGACTTCTAAAACTAATGCATCCACACTGGGGTGAAGGTGGAGACGTGAATAATGTGCAGGGGAATGATGAATGAGCTTGTCTTCGGGATTTTCACTCGTATTCAAGTTCCTCAGTTCTACTGGAGTGTAGTGTCATACTCAGGTACTTTTGACATACTTAGACAGCTGTGTCTTAAGTGACAATGAGTTCAGAAAAAAACACATTGTGTTAGAGAGCAGCACTAAGAATTTAGAGAGTTAAGAGCGATTGATCAAGAAAGTCTACTTCATATTCCGGTCACATAACGATGACTCACAGTTTCTGCGTTGAAATGTATTTTACAACCACACTAAAAAAACTGAGCTAGACTATTAAAGCATCATAAAAACATCTCTTACCTTCAGTTTCCTCTGAGGAACAGCCTCCCAGTCAATCGTCTTGAACCAGCGGTGCTTCTTCACGTCCTCTGCTCCATTCTGCAGAATGACAGAAAACATGGCATTTATTGGATGTGTTATTTCAAAACAGAAAAAAGTATTTATTTAATATCACTTAACCGTGAAAGTTAATGCCAACGACATCACATTGGTGGCAGTGGAATAAATGATTACAAAAAAGACGTACAAAACAAAAAGCTCACTGAGGGCTTAGATTTGTAGTGGAATTTAATTTTATAACTCACATAAAGGATATATTAAAAAGCAAACTAACTTTGCATTTTTATTTTAACTGTCAAAACATTAAATATAATAGTTAATTAAAAAAAAAATCAGCGTCTGCTAAATTAAACTGTCAAAGTGCCACGATTGTTCAGCTGAAGGACGGCAGCCAACCGCTTCTTAACTCAGTGTGCTTCAAATAAAGCTGTTTTGTTTGTCATGAACAGCCTCTGCTCTGGTACAACCTCTGGTTGTTGAAACTCTCACTTGATCTGAGTGAGCTTGCAGCAAAAAAAGAGGCATTTTTAATTTTTTACATCATTGATAGTAATCAACATTTGCATCAGTCATTCATCTCAGCTTGTCATGACAGCGAGACTGCAGAGCAGCCACAAATCAATGATGTCTTGTCTGGGATTACGTGGAGTTAATCACTGGGATTTGATAAACATTTGGATAATTGAGTTTTACTTGGAGAACATCCTATTTTAAAATCAGAATGAACATGGCAACTGCTGGTGGATGAAGACAGAAATCCACACACTGTTCACAAAGATATATTAATCAGGAGAGAGAGAGAGAGAGAGAGAGAGAGAGAGAGAGAGAGAGAGAGAATCTTTAAATATTCCAATCATCTTCTGTGTTTCATTTTGGCAAAGTAGATTTTTTTGTTTGGTTTATTTGCTGTCATAATGTGTGGGCTGAAGGAAGATCAACATTATCTAGTTTTTGGAAAAGCTTCATTGCACACAGAGCTCTTCAGTCAGGACTACTGGGGTCAAACAGAGGTTAAAGAAGAAACGTTTCTAATGTCATGTTGCACTTTGACTCAAAATGATATTATGTATGTATTTAACTGAGAGACAATTTTGACAAACAATGCTAGTAATCTCAAGATTATCTCTAAATAATCCAATGTTGTTTTAGCTTGCCCATCATCCCTGATTTAACCTTATGCTTTACTTAATGCCTACCTTACCTGTCGCAACACTCGATATGTTAGGAAACATCTCTTGTGTAAGGAAAATGGATTAATCTTACATCAGGGCTGCTGCTCACTGCTCAACAACATCAGATTTATGTCAAGTTTCCTTATCTTGTTGGCTAAACTAACCAGTGATTCCACCGCCAACCACTGAGCTGTAACTCATTCATTTACCATGTTACATCATTAGGAAAATTATTTAAATTAACTTAGATGGTCTGAAAACTTTTACTGCAAATGGCTATAAAAACTAGAAAAGAGAGACATGAGAGCTCTTGAAGATCTTTATGTATTTCTTCAATTCCTCTGACTAGTATTAGTGCTGTGTTCAACTAAACAGGCACATGTTTTATACCGAGTAATTTCTGAGTAAATCTAGAAGATTATTGTATATAATTGAATAATCTTTTAAGACTTTTTCCTGGTGCACTATGAGATTTATGTACAATACGTGTCTTGGCTCAAAAAAGTTTTGGAAAAACTGAACTAGAAAACCAAAGACTCAAGCTTTCGCTCCAGCTCACAACATTTCTACAAGCTGAGTTGGCTAGAACCTTATGTTGGACTTATGTTTTTGCACAGGCCCAACAAGGTCCTTGGACAGATGCGGACTTGGGCCTAACCAAGTCGTGACCGCTCTTATAAAATATACCTGCACACCATAATCTATAAGGAAGGTGAGGAATATATTATGTTACAGCACACATGACAAGTGAATTCACTGCTGGCCCCAAAAGTTAGATTAACCATTTTTTTCAACTGTCTTTTTATGGCGTGTTTTTGAAATGTCTTTATGGTTCTTGTTGCAGGACGTTTGGGGACTGTGTGTATTCATAAACCACGGAAAAACTCAAATACAACTCTAAAACAAGTATCATTCCTTTTTAAATCTGGCCATTAAGGAAGATTTGAAGTTTAGAAAAGTTTCACCAGTTAAAACAAATGAAATTCAGTCTTAGCTTAACTTTCCTGAAAAAGACTAACAATTCAGTCAAGTCATTGAAATATCTCTTAAAGTCATGCTTTGTGAATTAAAGTATATTCTCTGCCTCAGGGCAAGCATTGAAAAGTTCAGTCATTGTTGACTGTCTGCATCTTTGAATCTCTCTGTCCCTGAATCAGAAAAGCCAGACTGTTATCAGTATCTTCTTTTTTTAATAACATTCTAATGTTCAATTTGATCAGTCTATTTGAGCAATGATTTGGAAAATATTGCTCCAGAATCATGAATCATGGTCTGGTTCATGCCGGCTCCGGAAACAGAATTCTGTTCTTAGGTCTGATTCTCACCGACTCATAGAAGAAATTGAAGGGAGCTGCCGTGTGACTGAAAGAGAGAGAACGTGAGTTCAACTGACTCACCTTCATGTTTCCGAGTCGTCTGGCACGGTCAATGACCAGAAATTTCTTGATGAGATCCCTAAAAAGACAAAAAAAAAAAAAAAAAGTCATTAATTCCAAACTGTTGGAGTCAACATCTGATAAAAGTGTTTTTCTGATCATGATAGATGTTTCATCCTTTGAAGACAAGTCCCTGAGTGATGTCAGATTTAAAACTGTCAATCAGCGTGATCCATTTAAATGTTTCCACCTAAAGAAAACTGTTTAGTTTTTTGATAATGCAGTGTGTATTTACAAATGGAACATTTAATTAAGGTGATCTCCAGTTATGACTCATTCTTTAATATCGAGGGTGTTTTGTTTAATCTGCCTTTACCCATTTAATTTTACATGTTTCTTTCATTATTTTCTTGTTTATTATACAGTAAAAATTAGATTGGCTCAGCTCAACTCTTTTTAATGAGTATTTGCTTTTATTACACAAATCACACACTGCAGGTTTAAATTTCGGCTTAATGGCATCCCCCCAGCAGCAGCTGGAGGTCAGTGACCTTTGCAGACAGTGAATCACAATGCATCCTGTTCCCAAAAATTAAAACATAGCCAGCAAGTTGGCCGGCGCCGCACAAACCACATCCCATGTATAAAAACACCAATGAAAATCAAATGTCAGGACAAATGTTATGATCTAAACATTTTACTGTGAAGGCACGTCTGTACCAAAACACAGCTGCTGGCCTGCTGCTGAAACACTGATGCTCCTCCCTGTCAGACGAGAGGACCTTCTCCAACCAAAGACTACGGCCCGGAGTTTGAGACTCCTGCTTAGGACTAATGTCTTGTAGGAACATGAAGGAATAAAAGCAGCACAGATGGAAAACCAGAGATGGTCCATGTGAGGATAAGTCAAGGAGTACTGTGACAAATAATTTTCTTTTTTTTTTTAAATGCTAAAGGTTTTCTTTATAACATGTCCTCCTTTTAGGTCTAAACACTTTTTAATGTGATGTTTTCATTTCCTTTTTGTAGAATTTATTTATGATTCTTTTCTTCAGCTAAAGAAGTAAACTGAGTTCCTGAGTTTGTATCTTTCAGGTGCTGTTTGGTTTGAAGAGTTTTATCACTATTGAAAATATATCCACAGAATGTAAAAGTCATTTTCATCAACTCACGTAAGCAGCAGTGAATTATGAAAACCTCTGTGTTAAACATTAGCTGAGTTTTTTTGGTGCAGTGAATTAAGCATTTTCAAAATGGAGAAAGTTATCATTTAAGATTGATTACTTGGTGGTCTTGGTTTAGCAAAATGTCCTTGGATAAAAGCTGGACTGTAGTAACGCTGAGTTGTGCTGCATCTTCAGGCCAAACTGGAGGCCTATTAAGATCTTTGGATTTCATTGATATCCACTACACTAAGGATGTTGTAGACTTTATACAGAGAGTTATTCAGTTGACTGTCCTCAGTTTCTGCTATGGCTTCCCTAACTGAGCAAACAGTTCCAACCTTGATACTTTATATTTGTCATTTTAATTTGATGACTGATATTAAATAAACAAATAAATTTGGTATTTAAGTAAATACGTTACATAAGTCTTCCTCCTGTCTGGTACAGATCCACTGGAGAGTGTTCCCCCAGTGGTCTGTTCAGACACTGGAGGAAATTAAATGCATTATTTATACTTAAACAACAAGGCCCAAAAAAGCAGCACCAGACACAATCTAATTTCATTGCAGTTTTTAAACCTTTTTACATTTCTAACACAACACAGCTCTACTCAGTCTGGTGACACATCACTGTAACTCATTCTTATCATTTGTGTCTAACCCCCTGGAAACATAACAATGTCGAGCCTCCTGCCCCCCACAGAGAGCAGAGGAGTAAATGAGTAATAAGTGTTGGTAGCCTAAGGTCAGGTCAATGCTGTGTCAACACATCTGCAACCACTCCTTAACGAGGAGACAATTGTATGACTAATTCCTTACAAGACATTGATGCCAAGGGTCAGCCTGGGTCACGTCTCTACTCCCTGTTTGTCTGAGCCCTGCAGGAGATGCTGCTGGGGAAACCGCCTACAGTTTTCTTCGTGAACCTTTCATCTTCAGATGGATTCGACTGGCTAAATGACCAGGGTTCCTCCATAGTTTATAATGTTGTAAAGTGGAACACAATCCTCCTTTCTAGACTTTTTTTTCTCATTTTTATGGGTATTAAACATTAATACGTCTGTGTCTGTGAATGAAAGCGCTGTGTCCCTTCCTAGGTGCATGCAGGGACATACAGGATGCTACAGTGTCTGCTCTCTGGCACATACTTGACATAGAAATCCAGATGGCGTGGGAATTCCAGTTTTCCAGCTAGGATCTTCTGGTAGATTCCAAATGGGTTGTCATCAAAGAATGGAGGGTACCTGTGGAGAAATATACTGTCAACTTCAGCCGGTCTCCTAGCAGCTGCCTGCACACACACACGCACACACTAACACACACAGGATGTGCAAACTCGATCTGTGCTCTGTGTATAAACAGTGTGATGCAAGAAGCAGGTAAGGACATGCAGGCATCATCAAGAAAACCATTTTGAACAAAAGGTGAAGGAACATGTGGTGAGGTGAACAGCATGAAAACTTTCAGTAATGGACAGAACACTCTTTGTTTACAGCTATTTTTTTAAACCACTCTGTTTGTGTCTGTCTGTGTGTGTGTGTGTACGTGTTAGTGTGTGAGTGTGTGTGTGTAATTCTACCACCTGGAGACCTTCTGCAGCTCCACTCCACTAACAACTTCCCCAGCTCCACTGTTTTCTCTCTCTATTTCTCAGCCTGGACAAGTCATTAGCCACAAATTACATAATGGGACCAGAGCATAATCAAACACGTTTGTCACACACCAGTAAGAAAGAAACTCTGTGACCAGTTAACTATTGGATAAGGGTTTTGCTCACTGCAGGCTGGAACTATAAGTGTGTCCCCCCTGATGTCCCTCCACAAAAAAAACGAATGCAGTCACTGCTGGAAAATCTGGGTCAGTACAGCAAAACGGGGAGTGAGAAATATTTATTTCTGCCGGTAAGTGATGGTTTTTGGAAAAGCAGGCATAGTATGTAAAAAATACTAATAAATTAGGCAAACACAGGAGTGATTTATGGTGGAAATGTGTTGCCTCTGAGTAATTGCTTGGAATTTATTATCTGCCCAGAAAAAAAAGACTATAATAAAACAGAGTACAAACTGCACTGCTATTAACCTTAATATCAAATGAGAGTCTGTTAAAAGAATGAGGCATGCTATAAATTTACACGACAACAAATTTTGGTCTTTGGCCACATATGCCACCCATTGTATGAGTTATAGGAACTGTAACCACATTAACAGCATTACTGCCAACTTCCTGTTGATTTTTGCTGACGCCCGAGCCGGCTCTAGTGATCTATTGGTAAAAAAAATGTCCAGCAAATTACACCTGACAACAGCATATAATAAACTCTTAAGTTTAAATACATGCGTAAGCTTAATGCTGATATTTTAAAGGGATATTCAGTGCTGACTATCATGGAATGGCTTTTTACACCGGAAAGCATGGATTTCTGATAAGTCTCCGTTTGCAGTGAAGTCCAATGTTTAAATCAGCATTTTTTTTTAAAGCTTGCTTGGATCAGGTGGACACCAATCTATCGCTGCTGCTTCAGGCTGGTACTTTTGTGTCAATAAGCAATACTTATGAATACGATTTTAAACACCAAAGTAAAACAATACTGACTTTTCCCCAACTGATAAACTGAACCATTAATAGTTACTTTGTGTCTGTACCTCAAATGACAACATTTTAAAAACACCATAACCTTTAACATTTTTAGATTTACATTATGCTATGTTTAAAATATCCGGTGTAAACCTGGGACTGCAAACGTTAACGGGTTGTCATGATGAATGCTGGGAAAAGGTCACATCCTGAAGACTAATGCAAAGCCACACAGAGCAGAGAACAGTGAAAATAGATGGAGCGATGAAGGAAGGCCGCTCCCACACACAGGTGACCTTTCA